TCTCTCCCATGTACTCTCACTCCTGCCAGGATGTGAGGCAGAACAATGGCATGGTAGCTCATAATACACCAACCAGGGAACAGACTTATTCTTGAGCCTTTCACATCATATCTAGGCACAACTTATTTGTGTGTATGTGTGTGTGTGTGTAAGTACACAAACATACTGGGTCTGCATATACATGTGGGCAGGCCTTAGGGCAGCTGTTGTATGCCTTTCCCCCTTAAAGTTTTCAGAAGAGAAAAGTAAAACTTTCCATGCCCTCCTTCTGCTGCCAGCGACCCTTCCCTAGAGGAAACTCAGCTTATTTTAATGCCATTGAAACCTCAGAGGATCTGCTCCCAATTAAAGAAGCACTCTTGCAGATGCTTTTGTGAGCACTATAGACAGAAGACCATTCACATTCACACTTATGCCATCCTCTGGGTTGCCTTACCTGAGATGAGACTGGGAGATGGAGAAGGAGAGAACAGAACCCTTGTTGGGAAGGTAGCTGGAGAGAGAATGGAGGAAACGAGGCATTGACAGGAAGGGACCAACGACTTTTCTGGCTGGGATGTGGGTATCCCTGGGGAGGATGCCAGTGGAAAGGGGCCTGGAGAGGGCACAATGCAGCAAGGAGGACTTTGGGACCATTCTCCTTCCCAGCCTGAAGTTCCAGTTGACTCCTGCCAAAAACTCAGGCTCCAATTGATGCTCCATGAACGCTGTCTCACCCCATCAGGGGCCTCAGGCATAGGACAGAGGCTGGACAGAAACTGGACTTGACTGGCAGAAAAGAGGGAGTTATGGTGAGAATGTAAAGTCTAGCACCCCCTCCCCAGTGGCCCACTGAGTGGGCACGTTTGTGTTCCAGTACTGGCGCCCTCTTCTCTAGCTCCAGACACATGTGACTCAGCCCTGCTGGCCTTGCCAAGAAGTCTAGACCCAAGAGTCTCCCTGTGAAGGGGGTGAGCCTGCCGCTGGCTGCTGCCTTTTTCTCACCAGCCTTGGCCGAGCCCTGTGCATGTGCAGCTGTACACTTCATCCCTGTTTTGTGCATTCACATGTACAGCAACAAGGGGAGACTTGTTGCTTGAGTGCAACAATCCACACGGGGTTCAGACCCTGCCCTCAATTGGTAGGCCTGGAGAAAAAAGACACACAACCCTTGCTTCCCCCTTCTCATAGCTACTCCTACCATCAGCTCATGGGGGCTGAGTGTATTCTCCTGGGTGTACACATTGCCCTACAGGCTCTGTTTAGACCTGGGCAAATGCTGGTCCCAACCTAGAGACTGGGCTAGGATCCCACTGTAGTCCCAAATTGGGCTATCCTCAGTGTGAACTCAATGTTGGGGCCTCATTTCTTTCTCTGAAACAAGCACACACAATCAGGACTTTACTTGATGCTCCCCTCATCTCCTCCCTACCCTCATTCTCTTTGAGAGAGGGTCTCTCTATATAGCCCAGGCTTCTCTGTTCTGGAACTCATTCTGTAGGCAAGGCTGGCCTTGAACTCACAGAGATCTGCTTGCCTCTGCCTCATGAGTGTTAAGATTAAAGGCATGTGCCAGCACACTCAGCTTTGAGTCTAAATCTGGTGTCCATGGTCCTTCTTGGAGAGCTTTAGGGATGGAATATCTTGAAGGGGAGGTTGCCTTGGTCCCTTGAAGGCTCCTAGTGCTGAGCTAGCCTAACATGTCAGTCAGCACCGTTGTAGAGTAGCTCTGCCTTGGGAGGGCCTATCTCTACTATTCCCCAACAGAGGCAGCAGAAGCTAGCCTGTGTTTTTCTCACCCTTCAGTCTCTTCTATTAGTATTGTTCCACTGTGAGTCCCAGCTAAGGTCCCCACAGAAACCTGGGTCTAATACTCGAAGCAACATGAATGCTCCATCACATTTTCTTATCCTGATGTCTGCCTTGGTCAGCCCAATGCTCTGAGGCAAGGATGCATGCTCCAGGAGTCAAACTGTACAAGTGGAAGGGTCTCACATGCCTCCACAGTGTACCAGCTCATCCTGAGCACTGTAGGGCTAGTGCCTGTCAACTGTTCTCCTTTCCAACCTATGTGCCAAGCACTAACACGTGGCTTAGGCCCTGCTGCAACCCATTGTCAAGTTTTTCTCAGGATCATGGGCTGGCTCTTGCTTCCTATAAATCCCAGTTCTTTCCAAGGCCCTCCACCCTGCCCCTAACCCCCTGCAGGCCTCAGGGTCTTTTAGCCCCATCACAATGGGCTCTTGATGCCTCATCTCATGCCACCTCCCTTGTAGAACTCATATCTTCTAAGCAGAATTGCCTGTAGAGGTCTGGCCACTCCCCACCTCTCTATTGTAGGAACCCATCCCCATGTATCTACACATTTCCCCGGTGCACATGACTTCCAAGACATGCAACATCCCTCCTCTCCCTGCCAGCTAATGTTTAGACAGGACTTTTTTGGAGATATGCTTCCTCCTCGGGAGCCTGAATCTATGTTTCCAGAAAAGTCCATGACTGGACCTCCTTTTTCTTGTTACTGAGGGGTTCCATGACTCTCTACATTTCCACCTCAGTCTCCAAAGAAAGTACCACGGACTGAATTGGAAGATAGGCTGCCCCCTGCTGCTATGGCTTTGGTGCAGGAAGCTAGCCTCCATGGGCTTCTGTGAGAAGAACTTTGCCCCTCCAGGCCTCAACAATCCTTCAGGCCCCACCTAGAGCTGTAGACAAAGCTGCTGAGTTGGGGAAATACCTGCTCAGTGCTCTGGCTCCCTGGGACTGGGTGGAGAAGGAGAATTTTCTTCCAGAATACACAGGGGCTGGTTTCCTTTCCATTCCTCAGGAGCAGATTCTGGAGCAGAGGATATGGGAAGGGTGGAGGGAGGCAGCCACACTGCAGTGGTTTCTCCAGCCAAATTCCCCAGTCCTAGGAAAGATCCACAGAAAAAACCCACAAGAATTTGAATGTCTGAGCTAGGGTCATGATTGAAATGAAATTTTCTATAAAGAAAGGAAGAAAAAACAAAAACAGAAAAAGGGAGGAAAAAGTAAAAATCAACTTAACAAAAAAGAAAATGAATAACAAGTAACCAAAAGCTCTTTCCACCCCTGTGTTCCAGAAGGGTCTGAGACAGCATCTTTGTGGAGGGTAGAAAAGAACCATAATGTACTTTGTTATGAACTGGGTCTTCTTTCTCCAAGATTTTTTTCAGCTCAAATTGGCAGGATCCATGTCTTGTCCTCTGAAGATCTTGATATTCCAAGTTATTACTGAGGAATTAGGCCCTGGACCCTCAGCAGGTTTAGACTAGAGGCCCTTTCACTTGGTCCCACATCCCCGCCTACACTCTCCTTCCAGGACTCCACTAAGAGACCTCTCCAGACAGAGGACTTTAGTTGCCTGCTAGGAACAACTCCCCTCTCTACTTGTGTATGTGTGTGTGTATGTGTTATATCGAGGTCAAAGGTCAATCAATGTTGGGTGTCTTTTTCAATTGTTCTTTACATTATTTTTAAATATTTATTTTTATGTGCATGAGTCTTTATTTTCACTTATGTCTTATGCACCATATGCATACAGCACCCAAGGAGTTTGGAAAATGGCATTGGTTCTTCTGGAACAGGAGTTACAGATAGTTGTAAGCTTCCGTGTGGGTTCTGGGAACCAGACCTGGGTCCTCTGCAAGACTGGCAAGCATTCTTAATGGCTGAGACATCTTTCCAGCCCTTTACCTTGTTTTTGAAACAGGGTCTCGCAATGAAACGAAGCATATTAACTGAGTAGAACCATCTCAGCACTGGGTTTACAGGTATGCTCCTAAACCCAAATTAAAAACAAAGCAAAACAAAACAACAACCACGATTAAATCATCTCCCCAGACTCTATGCCTTTTTTGTTTGTTTGTTTGTTTGTTTGTTTTGATCAGGGTCTCAAGTGGCTCAAGTTGTCCTTAACGCACTATGAAGTTGAGGTTGGCCTCAAGTTTGTGATCCTTCTGTGTCCACCTACAAGTGCTGGGATTACAGGCATATGCCTCAAACCTGGCTTTTTCTTGCCTCTTTCCACAGTCCTCTTTAAGGAGATGGCAGTGCAACGCATAGAGGATGTACATACTGAGTGTGATAGATTGTTACTGGCTCTTGGCTCTTGCTGAGCAACAATCACCCTTTAGTTCCCCTTATCCAGTCAGCTGATTATTTCATGAATTGGGCAGGAATGAGGCACAGAACATTTATAAAAGTCAAAGTTAGGATGGTGATGTGGAACCCAGAATAATGGTAACAATGTTTACAGGCACTTTTAACCTGTCATCCTGTTTAGTAAACCAATGAGATATACTGCTCTCAAGGAAGCACAGAGAAGTGAGGTAACTGGTCCAAAGAAATGGATAACATTTTTCTGGACGTGGTGGTGCATGCCTCTCATCACAGTGCTTTGGAGGCTGAGGCAGGAGAATCACAAGTTTGGAGCCAGTCTAGGCTACAAAGCCAAACCCTGATTCAAAAGCCCCCCAAACAAAACAGACAACACAAACAAAAACAAAGTTACACAGCCAGTGAGTGGCAGAACCAGATTTTAATTAAGGAACCTTTCCCTCTGATTTCGTGTGCAAAGGAAAAAAAATAGAACTCTGGGCCAAGAGATGGATTGCTCAGGTCTTGGTTCTATCAAAGCTTGCTTTCATCTGTTAGGTCCCATCAGCTACTGTCAGAGAACCCAAACAAGGTAGGAGCGCCCCCTCCTGGATGAGCCTGACCTCTAGGAGTCCCTAGCTTCTGTCTTCTAAAGAAGCTACTACGGCTTGGTAAATCCTACTCGCCCCGCCTTTCCCACCCCCGCGCCTCCAGCACTGCCTTCAGCCCGCCTCTGTCCTGTTGTCTCCCAGCCCTCTTTGCTGCACTCTGTCTCCTGAGGCGCGCGCGGGCAGTCTCTGAGCTGCAGCCCAATGAGAAAGCTTGATGAGAAAGAGGGTGGGCTGTTGTGACTCCAGTTCCTATGGGTGGCTCCGCCCTGCCGCCCGCCAGCCGTTGTGCGTAAAGTCCGAAGAAACTGGCGAGCTGTAAACAGTGCGACTGCGCTACTTGAGTGGGGGTGTGGTTACATTTCAGAGCGCGAAACATGGCGGAGAAGGGTGCAGCCGCTGGTGTCGGCGGCTCTGGTGACAGTTACAGCGAAGCTCTGGGTGATGACCGCGTGGTCAAGACAGCTATGGAGGTGTTCGAGAAGCTGAAGGTGCTGTGAGCAGGAGGAGCCACTCCAGGAGGGTTTTGGGGGAACAGGCAGGGCCCTGCCTTAGAGCCTTCTGGAGCGTGGTGGACTTTGGATACACCATAGGGGTCCACAGCGATGGGTCCTAGCAGAGTCTTGGGGCGACGTGTAGACCATCTTTCTTAGCTCTTTGGGGTTCCTGGATCTCCGCTTATGCTGTTCCCATAGAACTTTGCAATATTGATTCTGTAAAGTGTGTGGAAGGGTCACGAAGGGGCACAAACTGATAGAAGTGCACTGCCACCCTACAGTAACAGTATTCCTTCTGACTTTTCTTGCTTAGGGTGTAAACTGCCCCTTCCTGGACGGTCTGTATATCACAGAACCAATGACAATTCTGGAACTGCTGTGTAAGCCCTCAAAGTACAGGTTGGACATACTGGAATGGATGTGTGTACGGTAATGTCCTTTGTTTTTTCCCTTTTCCTTTTCTATTGGGTGTCTTCTGGGGGAAGATGGGAATATGTCCTCTCAGAGGGTTCTATAACTGGGTCAGCTCCAGGAGAGGAGCTGGTTAGTTAACAAAGCCATGACCAAGATGGTGGGGTAGGTGGCCCTGGCAGTACAAGGTGAACTTTAATGAAAGCCCTTTCTGTACCAGGCCACCTGGGCTTTTGATTGTGTTGAGGGATTTCTTGTGGTTCATGTCACTGAGATGTGATTACTGTCAGCTTGGTGGGCACCTGATGATTAGGGAGGGATATTACACAGAAACCCAGTGACAGAAACTAGCCTCCTAGATTTTTTCCATTCTTCACCAGCTCAACTTTCAAAGAGCCAGCGTTTTTCTTAGTGCATCCAGAGGCAGTGTTTCTAGGCAGCCTGGGCTGGGTAGGCCTTTTCAACAGAATGGGAGGTGTTGGAGGACTTCTTCCTTGAAGTTGTCTGTGGAACCAGTTCTGTCCAGCTAGGAGCTCTCAAGGCCAGATGCTTACCAAGGAGCCTCACTGTTATCCTTATCTGTGTGTCTCCCTCAAGGCCAGGGCTTCACAGCTAAGTGACTGGAGCCTCTTTCACAGTAGGAACTTTCAAGTATCTTAATTCCTTGCAGAGCTCAGCAAGGAATTTTCTGTGAAGGGCTGGACACTGCTCCAACTCAGTCTTGCCAAGGTGGCTCAAAAGCAGCATAGGCAGCATGTGCAGGAATGGATGGGATGACATAACAGTAAACCTTTAAAAGCCAAACCTGTGAGCCTATGTGTGCAATCACCCCTCCTTTTAAACTGTGTATTGAATTGGGTTTTTGAAAAATGTAAACTAAAGCAGGACTCAGTGGCACACAATTTTAATCCCAACATGAAGGGGTTAGAGGCAGGTTGATTTCTGTGAATTCCAGTACAGCCTGGTCTACAGAGTGAGTTTCAGTACAGCCAAGGATACATAGGGAGGACCCAGTCTCAAAAAAGAAGAAAGAAAGAAAGAAAGTGTAAAATGGTAGTGATAGAGACAACCACTGCTCCTTCACTGGCCTCCCTTTTTGTATTGATCATTGTCTAGAAATGTGCTCGGCTCCAGAAATATCCAAGGAAAAGCCATTTTCTGGCCCCAGCCAGCTTTTACTCCAGGATTCCTTGGAAGGCCTTATAATCAAGGCTGGCCATGCTGAGAAAGTGAGTGGAAGTGATGACTTGTATGCTAGGGCTGAATGGGAAGTGAGTGCCCCAGTAGGTGCACAGTCAGGCCACATTGTCAACCTCCGAACTCTTTCAGATGGCTACACTTTTCCTTTCTTGTACACCATCACTTTTTTTTTGTGGGGGAGAACTTTGAGTGTTTCATTAAAAAAGGGAAATTTTTCTCAAGTATTTTCTTATAATAATTGATGGTAAGCGTCATTTTAAAGTGTCTGTTCACTGGCATTTAACATATGCACCAAGTAATTCTGTGTTTAGAGCATAGGTATGGAAGAGTGGTAAGGAGTTAGGCACATGACTGACTTTGCTATTTTCCTTCAGGGTCTGTCCCTCCTTGAAAGAGAAGTTCAGCTCTTTAAAAGGAACGGCAGTGGATTTGAAGATACTGGGTAGGTCTCTATGAGAGTGTGGCATTTGCTGGTAAATTCTGGGCAATTCTGAGCTTGATCACAGTGTCTCACTGAGTTGTGAAATACCCATTAACTAATCTTTTACTCAGTATGGTGTATACTCTGTAGATATCATTTGTGCCTTCTAGAATCAGGGCCTTTACTGACAGTGTATAGAAGGCTTTTCACAGGACCAAATAGTACATTGGTCCACCACATCACTGATAGGTAGAGAGCATGGTTCCTTCTGATGTCATTAGAGGTCTGTGTGTGTGCATACTAGTTTATATGGGTGCATATTCTGTCCACGTGGTATTGCTAAAAGCCCCCTGATTGTTCTTTTTTTGTGGTTTGCTTTGTAACCATGTTAGTTTGATGGGTTTCTTTTTTATTTATTTATTTATTTTTTGGTAGAAACTTTCCTTAATCTGGTGTGAATGATAGATAAAAATGACCAAAAATGCCATGTGTGTAAGTGGCTAGGTTTTCCTTCCTTGTAAGACATTGATAAAAATTTGGAAGGCTAAGTTTTTAATCAGTCTGTGTGTATTCTGACCACTGCAGGGTGAATGGGCTGGATTTGGGCCCTGAATTGTGCACCAATTGACATTGCCAAATTAGTTATCTATAGAGAGTTGTCCTCTTGGGTGTAGTAGGTTGTTGGTCTTAGAACAACCAGGCCTCTGTCCCATCATCCTTGTGCTTCCTGCTGTCACGATTCCCCTCAGAGGCTTGGAAATAGTACCCCAGTTCTCATGGGAAAACCCTGGCCTGCAGGCTGTCCTCCTCTATCCACAGTTTGGAGTTCACTGGACCCAGCCTCATTTCCCTCTTTGAAAAAAAAAAGGCTTTTGCCTTGTTCACCTCCTCAGAATGTGTTGATTCTGTCTGAGTGAAAGTAGGAGACATGAGGACAGGGATTAGTTATTTTCACTGACATGTGAGTCAGTGTTTGAACTGTGCGACCCTCATGGAACTTATCTGTTAGATGATGGGAAGCACAGCTGATGAAGAATAAGCCTGTAAACTTCTTGGTGGTAGGGTGCTCAGAAGGGCTGTAAGCTGCTAAGTTAAGGGAAAAGTGATACTTAGGGAGACATGGAAGAAGAGTGATCGTATAGACCGAAGATGGCAAGAAGGGAGGAACTGAGTTAGGCTGAGAATAGTGTCCATGCCAAGGTAATAGAAAATGCAGAGACTGACATGGGCTATGCTTGGCAGCTTGGAGGAAGAGTAAGGAACAAAGATGACTGGGATAAAGGGGATAATGAGGTATGGGAAATCAGGAGGGGTTAGGGATAGGTCCTGCCAGGCCATTGAGATTTCTTTCAAGGATGGCTTTGCCCTCTATTGGCTTCATCAAGTTTTCTAAGGATATTGTAGTGAAAATAGGAAGACACAGGTAGTAGCACAGCTCTTGCAGTGACTGAAACACAATAACTGGGGAACGGGTAGAAGGGTGTACGCTACTGAATTTGTTGACAGGAGGAAGACAGGATCAGAAGGGTTTAAGGGGTATGTTTGAAGCAGGATGGCTTGGAGGAATAGTGACAACTAAAGAGTTATTCCCTGGGCCACAGAGTTTTCACATAGATGCTCTGCCGCTTTTTCCAATGACTCGTTTACAGCATGTCCTACACAGGTTTGCACCTGCTCTACCCTAGCTGAGGCATAGCCTGGCCTGTAAAGGGATGAAGGTACTGCCCTAACACTGGTGCTGGTCTGAAACTTTCTGGCCTTTGTTTATATACTAGATGGCCATGTGTTGGATACTCTGGAAGATGTGGCTAGGTGTTCACTGCTCCTTGAGGGGCCTCAGATTCCTTATCTCTAAAATATAGCCTATGCTCACCTTCAAAATGGCATGGCAGAAGAATGGGCCATGAAAGACATTTGGGATATGGACAAATGTGAGCCATGGGTCCTTTTGCTTTAACCTCATGAAGTCTCTAAAAAGGTGGCATATGGTACATGCTGGAGGCCCTCTGATTTGTGATGGCTTCTCGGGCAACTGGACATGTGTGTCTTATGTAGATACTCCTCACTCACTTCCAGGTCTCAAAACAAATCTAGAAAGAGGGGCTGACTGTAGCCCTCATATTAAGAGGACTGTGACTAGAGGACCCACATGAAACCTAAGCTGGAATCATGATCACTTGTTTCCTGTCCATTTGGCATTTTGTCCCCCCCCCCCCAATGTCATGTGGGAAAAACCTTGGTACCCTATGTGCTCTAAATTCTGGAATGTCTTGTATCTTCCTCTGTTTGGGTAGTTGTCTGTAGTGATAAGTTCTTTGTATTCTAACAGAGATGGTGAAGCTAGGCCATGAGCTGATGTTGTGTGCACCCAATGACCAGGATCTTCTGATGGTAAGAAAGGGCCCTCTTCTGTCCCTACAGAGGATGCACATGCTTTTTGTCCTGGGCTGATGAGAGGATGGGAGATGCTTCTGGCTCCAGAGCCTGCATGCCTGACAAGGCTGCTTCTTTAGGCATCCCCAGGGTAAGCATTGCCAGTGATCTTTCAAGGAGACAAACAGAATGGAGATGGCTGCATGGAGATAGAAATACGGGCAGATATCTGGCTTGTGCTGACCAATAGGATGCAGGGAATTTATCCTGTCCTCACTTGGCGAATCATACTTGGCTAGTATCATGGCAGGTACATTATAGTCCAGTGATTGTCACACGCATCCTGCGTAGACAGTATTTTTTTTTTTTAGCTCCATTTCCTAGCAGGTGACAGAAACTTATGTGGGCTATTGAGTCTTTCCAGTGAGGGCTTAGGAGCAGCAGGAACAAAGAATTCCCATCTTCTTCCTGCCACTGGCCCCATATTAGCATCCTTCACTGTGGGGACACTTGTTACTTCAGTAAGCCAACACTGATAAGTATAACTTTCTCTCCCAAGTGTGTAGACAGTGGGCTATGCTTCTATTGTTCTGTTTTCCATTTGGAAGCTGTACATTGTTCTTTGCTGATACTTTACCTTCTTTTTGTCCACAATTGCTCATTAAAGCAATTTTCTAATGGCTGCTCAAAACTTCATTTGCCTTTCTGTAATCCCTGTATTGGCATCTGATGAGCATCTTTTCTCATGAAAGTTGAGGTCTTCATGTGTCAGGCGATTTTGGATTTGTCATGTATATATTGGCTGTTATTTGGATCTTGTTAAATTTCATGGAAAGTGGAGATCCACATGTTCTAGCAGGCTCTAGGCTTGCTTTAGTTTATGCAGCCACGTCCATCCCTCCCTTCTGGCCTGAACTTCCATTGTCAGCTCATATTCTTTCCAGCCATCCTCCATGCGCCACCCAGCGGTCAATCCAAGACCCAGGCCTGGCTTCACGCCTGGCTTAGTAATCAGTCAGCTGTGCAGTCAGGGCTGGCTGATCCAGACTTTCCAAAACTGATTTGTAGAGTCGTTTTCTCCATCTCTTTCCTCTCTGCCATATCTCTAATGCTTTCAGTTCCCCAGAGCTCTCCCTTTCTATCCTCTAGCATGATAGATTCTGTAGCAAGAGGGCAGAGAAGAAAAGCTAACAAGAGGGCCATGGAAAGATGCTTTTTATCACTGATCACAAGAGCAGTGAAAATTAGGGCTGCAATGGTATGTTCCACTCATACCATGATGTCTAGAGTTAGAAGGAAAATAACAAAGGCTGACAAGGATGGGGAGACCCTCATACATTCTATTAGGGACACAAAACGGTGCAGCTACTGTGGAAGACAGGTAACATACACATACCAGAATTCACTGTGAATATTCATAAACATATACTCATAGTGGTTCAGAACTAGAAATACCCCAGTGCCCACCAACTGGTGAGGTAATTTTCATAAAAGAAGACATTATTGCTACATGTAACAACATAGATAGTCTCTGAAGATGTTATGCTAAGTTAAAAGCAGTCAGATAATAAAAGATAGTTTAAGGTCATGGTCACATATTGCAAGGTTCTTTGTGTGTAGACTGTTTGAAGAGGTGAATACACAAAGAAAGAGGTGGCAGTTGGGTAACTTTGGAACTGTGGGTCTTGGAACTGTGCTACCCCTAAGTCTAGTCCTCACCAGGGGCCGCTTGGCTCTTTCCCTTCAGCATCTGCATTCACCACCAGCTTTCAGTGTTTGTTTTTCTTGAAGAACAGTGTGTGCCGGGGATAGGCATTTCTTGGTGCCTTATTTGCACAGGAATTTGTGGAGCAGTCATGGCCTCTAAGGTAGTGTCTGCTCCCAGGGATATTCAACTTTCTAGAAGAAGGTAAGCCTTGGACTCTACACTGGGCAACTTCCTACATCACTTGGGCAGATGGGCAGGCAGGAGTCCTGGTCAGCCCTGCATGAGTTGCTGCACAGAAGCCTGCTGCCTTCCTGATGGAAAGTCTAGGTCCCTGCTAGAGAACAGGCCATTTCCAGGCCTCATGCTATGCCTATTGGCCTCTGCTATTCTTGGACAGGAGGGATTGAATGAGGATGCCAGATGTTTACTTGGAAGTATCCCTGAGGAATAGGCCACCATCAGATCCCTGTGAGTTCTATTCTGCTTTAGTAGACCCTCCTGCATGCCACCCACCCACTGAATAAGCTTTCTCCTCTGGCTATGTGATGAATTTACACCGTAATATGTTTTGACAACATTTTGCATTTGCAGTGTGCTTCCAGGTATCATTGCAACCTGAAATGTGGCCTCAGAGGGAAAGGAACACTTTGTGGCAGAAGTCTGAGGATGCTATTGCTGAGCCAGTTCAAGAGGCTACCAGCAGGGGTTAGGGACAGGGAAGAGGAACTATCTGGCTAGGTCCCTTGCCACTGGCCAAGGAAAGGGCAGTGTAGAATTGGGCACCTGGAACAGCTAGTTAGGTCTGGCTGGCTCTAGTGGCAAATGTGTGTGGCTTTCCTTGCCAGGGCCGTGAGTGTCCCCAGAAGCAGCTGCAGTTCCTGGACCAGTTCCTAGATATGATGCAGAGCCTGGCCACTGGATGTTCCAGTAGTTCTAGGTAAAGGTGTTAGTGCCATAGGCGGCTGCCCCTGAGAGCTGCTCTTGGTCTTAACCATGGAAATGGTAGGGAGGTGAGGGAGTGTGTCTTCCCTCTTTCCCACTCTGGTAACAGTAGCCACATGTTCATCCAGAGTTACAGAACTGATAAATTGAAACAGCTCTTCCTAGTCACTGTCTTGGGGGTTATGCTGGCTGCTCAGAGGCCAGGCAGTGGCTCAGAAATGGGTAGCTATATTTTTAGGATGTTGGGTTATAGCCTGAAATCCCTTCACTGCAGGCCTTTGGGAGCTAACCTAGGTGTATAGGAGGAGGATTAGCACCTGGCTGTCTGCAGACAAGAAGGCATCAAAGAGACCATAGCAAGTAGAGGCTGGGAGGGATGTAGGCAGTAGAGTTGCACATCCTTGGGATTTCTGGGCCAGTGCTTCTGCTGGTAATTGTCTACTCAGGGCTTGTCTTGACTTTGCAGCCTGGAGAAATACTTTGAAGACACCACAGAGAAGAATAAGGCCTTGCTGGGGGAGCTCTTCTCCAGCCACAACCTGTGGGCAATCGTGAAGCCTGAGAGTGACCCATGGCTCTTGGACATGCAATCCTCTCTCAACAGGCAATGTAATGGCCGGCCAAAGTAGGTATCCAGGAGTGCTCTAGACCCCATACTACCCCATCTTGCCTCTGTCCAGTAAGACAGACCTTACACAGTGGCCTACTGCCTACAGCTGACAGTGTTTCTCCTTTTTTCCCCCCTTGCAGGGATGGACGCTCTGCCCAGTCAGAGGGAGAGAAGGTGGCAGATCTGGCCAGGCAGCTGCAAGAGAGTGCTACCAAGCTTCAGACACTCCAAGACCAGGTGAAGGGCACCAGTTCTGGGGATTGTGGGACTTGGGGAACAGGTTTTGTCTAGTTCTAGGGCAAATGCTGTCTCCCTCAGCATGGTATGCTGTGAGGCTTCAGTGAGATGCAACAGGAGTGTGGAGGTAGGTACTGAGAGTATGAGCATGAAAGGAAAGAATGTACTTCAGATGGCAGTTGTGCACTAGGCTAGTTATTTGGCTATGAAGACTGAGGCCTGTGCAAACATTTCCCTCAGAATTGCGGCCCCATTCATAGCCTCCCCATCTTCTCCTTTATGGAGACTTTCTTCCTGTCAAGCTATGCTATGCATGTCATATCAACCTATGCTAGGTTATGTAGGCTGTTAACAGCCTAGGCAGGGCAGCCTCAAGTGACTGTTACCCTTGGTTTTGCAGTACTTTGCACGGCATCATGCAGGGACTGATACCAGTACCATACACCAGAAGCTCCGTCTGGTCATCTCTGACTTCTACCAGCTTGTTTTGGTCTTCCTGCAAGTCTATGATGATGAGCTGGGCACTATCCAGTGCCCACTACCCAGCCTGCACCCAAGTGGCACTATCATACAAGCTGTTTATCAGATTCTTGCTTCCTGTAGTCAGGTAAGACACTTCCCCATCTCTTTGCTGCCTAGCACCTTAAGAACACATGCCCACCAGGCTTGGGCTCAGGACCTTAGTAACCCCTGATGTCCAGTGTAGGGGCTTGAGAGGACTTGGCCTGGGGTCCTCAACCAATCACATGGTTAATACTCTAGGTCTAAGACCTCCGTCAAGTGAGGACAGACATTCCTGATACCTTGCAGAGGTGATGAGAGCAGATGTGAACATTGTCTCTAAGAGATACCCCTAAGGAGGTTTCCATTTTTTACCCTTCTTACCCCTACGGAGGCTCATGTATTGCTTGTATTGGGTTCTGTTTGACCCAGTATGCTGTTCTGGTCTCAACTTCTATGCTGGTGTTGGTTCACTATGTTTTCATAAGCTCAGACATGCCAAGCTACCTCTGTTCTGGTGTGTGACTGAGTGCTAGGCCAGCTAGACAAACAGGTGGCAGGCAGTTGGGTATGTGGCTAAGCCATTCACTAAACATGGCTCACTGGGGTCTTCCATATTTCAGGTTCTCAAAGGACAGGCTCAACATCTGGACTAATTCTCATCACTGTAGCTACAATGTGTGCAACGCTGACTTTGGCTCATAGTGCCGTGGTGTTGATTTTAGGTTATGGCAAGGAAACCCGAGACTCCCCCCTAGAGGGAAGCTTTTATCACAAACACACTTTTTTGGTAGGCTATTTCTTTTCCCACCTGCTATTTGCTTTGCTCAGGGAGCACAATGTGCAGTGCTAACTTGTTAGTAAGAACTGAGGGCTGCCAGAGTAACACAATAGTGTGGAGTCCCCACTGAACCAGGAAGAAGGACACTTAGGTTTGAGAAGGCAGCTCTTCAGCTGTCTCTTTCTGTTGGCTGAATTTTGGGGCTTCAGTGTAAGCTTGGATGGAAAGCAACAGATGGCATCTCTAGATCAGACAAGCTTCACTGAGGCCTGCATGTCTTCTCCACCTTGGCAGTTGTTGAGAGTAGCCATGGAGATTGAACGCGCCTCTGCTGAAGCTATGGAAGTAGTGAGGAGGCAGCAAGAAGAGCCCAGCTGTTGCTCCAGCAACAACTCTGGGATAAGCCTAGGTAAGTGATTGGAGCTGAGGGGCAGCTGTTCTTGTCTATTTAGCCCACATCTGTTCATGACAGGGCCTCTTCTTTTTCCTTAGGAGACTGGCCACATAGTTTTTTGTTGTTGTTGTTGTTGTTGTTGTTGTTTAATGTTTCATTTCTTTCCCTGGGGGGAAAAATGCTTCCAGCATTCTTGGTAGGACATTGGGATAACTCAGAATACACAGAAGTCCTTGGATGCTTAATGTAGCATGCATATCTCTCCTCATAATGAAGCATATCTTTTCATAGCTTGTATGTGTGGTTATTTGTTGTGCAATTTGCATGTAGTCAAATGTAGCCATAATTTCTTTATGGATAGACTCTTTTGTATTTATTGTAAATAGCAGTCTACTATAACACATTATCTTCTAAGACTTTATAGCGTTCTCTTCTGTGGTTAGGTTAGTAATCTTTCCAGAGTTGATTTGTGTATAGTATGAGTTGGGAGTCCAGTTTCATTTTATACTGTGTGGGTACACATCTATCCCAGTAATGCTTAATGGAAACACACTCTTTTCCCTAATTGTCTATAAATCTACCACCCATGTTAGTTGTTAAATATTAGTACTACATGCATGAGTCTCAGAGTTCTCTATTCTAGTCTGTTTCTCTTTTTTTCTGTCTTTGCACCACAGAGATCAGAAAACAAATGGCAAAATAAACTCATGAGGTAAAAGGTGTTTTTCCATTTCCCCTCTCCCTTCACTGGATATTAAATCTGGGCTTCGTATATGCTGTACAAGTGAGATGCACCCAAACCTTATTTTTTAAAATATTTTTTAATTGATTTTATGTAAATGAATGCTCTGTCTTCACATACACCTACATGTCAGAAGAAGGGATCAGATCTCAATTGAAATGGTTATGAGCCACAATGTAGTTCCTGGGAATTGAACTCAGGACCTCTGGAAGAGCAGCCAAGTGCTCTTAACTGCTAAGCCATCTCTCCAAGCCAAGCCCCACTCTCTAACAGTGAACAATCTAGTTTTTTAAAGGATATTTATATACTTGCCAACCATCATAGTTAAGTCCAGAATATTTTAAATAGTTATTTATTTTTATTTTATTTATATGAGTATTTTGCCTGCGTATATGTCTGTGTACAATGTGGATGCAGTGCCCACTGAGGCCCTCGGATCCCCTGGAACTGGAGTTCCAGACAATTATGAGCTGTTATGTGGGTGCTGTGAATCAACCTTGGTCCTCTGGAAGAGCAACAAGTGCTCTTAACCTCTGAGCCATCTATCCAGCCCCTAGAACATTTTTATTATCCCCCAAAGAAGTTCTGTACCAGAAGCCAGGTGTGGTAGTGCATGCCTTTAATTCCAGTACTTAGGAGGCAGAGGCAGGTGGGTGTCTGGTAGTTTAAGGCTATCTTGATCTACATAGAGAGTTTCAGGACAGCAGGGCTACCTAGTTAGAGTCTGTCTCAAAAAAAAGAAAAAAGAAAGTAAAAAAAAAAAAAAGAAAAAAAAGGGAAGGAAGGAAAGAAAGAAAGAAAGAAAGAGAAAAAGGTTTGTAGTCTCTCTTCCGTTTCTCCTCAAACCCCAGCCCTCGACAAACACATGTCTTTCTCTATAGCTTTGTCTTTTCTGAACACTTCCCTTATAATAGAGTTGAATAGTGTGTGACCTCTTGCCTGTCCTTTCTAATGGAGTACAATGGTTTCAAGGTTCATCTATGTGCTACATTTCTTTTTATGGCTGTTATGGCTGTGATGAACAAGTAAAATAGTTTTATTTATTCATTTATTGGGAGACATATGGTTATTCCGTCATTTTAGCTTTCATGAATAATGCTGCTAAGTTGTGTGTGTGTGTGTGTGTGTGTGTGTGTGTGTGTGTATGTATGGATGTGTTTTTTATTCCCTTGGGTCTAAAGCAGAATTGCCAGGTCATGTAAACTTTTCTTAAAATTTATTTTCTCACCACTTGCCTTTAGGCTTATAGATAACAAGCTAAAGCACTTTAGTGTTATGTTAATTTCAATAGTACACAAAAGTTGTGCTTTGCTAGAACTTCTTTTTCCTTTTAATTTGGTATTTTTAAAATTTATATTGCAATAGCATGTATTATATATACCCATCAACATGGGATTATAATTATTGCTTCATGCAATTGCACTTAATATTATATAGATGAAAATTATAAACAAAAATACATTTATGTTAGTTGTCATATTTATCTGTCTTCTTTTATTGGTGTTTTGTTTAAGACAAGGTCTCACTCTGTAGCCTTGGATGGCCTGAAATTCATTATACTATTGAGGTTGCCCTCAAACATTCAGCAGTCCTCCTACCTCTGCCTCTTAACTGTTAGAATTACAGATAGGAATCACCAGACCTGGCTTTCAAGTTCTCTATTGATGCAGGCTATCACTATCTAGTGTTCATTCATGCTTTGTAGGGAAAGTCCACTAGTGACAAATTCCCTCAGTTTGATTGATCTGAGAATGCCTTCCTTATTTTATCCTTCATTAAAAAATTCAGTGTAAGCTGGGCAGTGGTTGCACACTTCTTTAATCCCAGCACTCGGGAGGCACGTGGATCTCTGAGTTTGAAGCCAGCCTGGTCTATAGAGTAAGTTCTAGGACTGCCAAAGCTACACAGAGAAACACTGTCTTAAAAACTAACCAACCCACCAACCAACCAACCAACCAACCAACCAGAAAAGCAAATAAATAAGTAGATTAATTAATTTAATGGTTTTGTTAATTCTCTGAGAATATTATACATGCATTTTGATCATACTCAATCCTCTCTCTTCTTTGTAATGTCTTCCAGATTCATCCTTACTCTTCTCTTAACTTAATGTCCTCTTTAAAAAAAATCCCACCAAGGCTAATTTGTGCTGTCCATATATATGTTCTTTTGGGTGTGGGGCCATTCACTGGAGGAAACATTTCCCTTAATAGGGGAAACATTCTTTTCTTTTTCTTTTTCTCTCATACTGTTCATCCTAATAGTAGTCTCCCATCCCTCCACTCTTCCTAACCCCTCCCTACTTCCCCTCTACCCCAGATCCACTGCTCCTCTGTTTTCCTTTAGAAAAAGAATAGGCCTCCCAGGAATATCAACCAAATATGGCCTAACAAGATGCAGTAAGACTAGGCATGAACCCTCATATCATGGGGACACATTCTTAAAGAAAATTGACTATCCTTATACTAACATCCATCAGCTATCACTAGATCCTTCCCTAAGGATGCAGGCTTATGAGCTGTTCCAGGTTCATGCTAGGATGTTGACAGGCTTGATTTTGGGTAAACAATCACAGCTGCTGTGAGACATAAGTGCAACATCCCTGTCATGTTCAGAAGACACTGGTTTGCTTTATTCCTCTCTTACCATAGCTCTTACAGTCTTTTTCACCTCTTCTTTCTTGATGTTCCCTGTTGGTGGTGTAAGATACATTTCCCATTTCTGAGTTAGTACTTCACAACACTTTGACTAGTTGCGAGTTTTTAACTACCACCCACTACCCCAAAATCTTTTCAGAGGCATCTAAGTTCCTCCTTCATTTTTGAAGGATCATTTTACTCTTTGCTCTTGGATGGCCGTTCTTCCATACTTTGACTTTATCGTCCCACTGTCATTTGGCCTTCATAGCTTCTGATATGAAATCAATTTATATTCTTATTGATGGCCTTTGTATGTAACAGGTCTCTTCACTTTTCTTTTTTCTGCTGGTTCTAACTTTTCCCAGTTTGGTTATGTGTCTTGGTGTAAACTCCTATAAGTTTAACACTTGTAAGTTTACCTGTTTTGGAGGTCTCTGGATTTTCTGGATTCCCATCATTCACCAACAGCTAAACAGTTGACAACTGTTCCTTTTCTTCCACTTCTTTTTGCCTCAGAGTCTCAGATTAAACCAGGAGGAGGACTCAGAGCCTTCTTCAGATTCTCCTGGGCACTTTCTCAGTGTTGGGCCTTTTATGTCCTTTTTAGGCCCTCTGGACTGTGCACTCCCCAGCCTTTATTCCCCAGCCTTTCCTTCCAAGCTTTTGGATTAATGTATTATTTCCCATGACTGTTTCAGTGAACAGCCGGTAAAGCGCTTGACTATAACTGTTTTCAATAATTTTTTTTCTCAAGTAGTGGCCTTATATCACAGTCATTGTGCCATCTCCTTTTGGGACTTCCCCTACCTCCCCAAATTTGGATATATAAATACTTAGGTACTCATATGTTAGGTAAGCATTTTGCTACTGAACACATCCACAGCCTTCTCTCTCCCCCTCTTTATCTTTTTTTTCTCTTTTTGTTACTTTTTTTGTTTTGAGACAGGGTCTCATTAAGTTGCTCAGGCTGGCCTCACATTTGTGATACTTCTCCCTCATCCTCTCCAGTAGCTGAGATTACATACTATAGGCCTGCACAATCAGGCCCTGCTTGGGATTCTCTCTGGCTGCTGGCCTTTTTTATGTGTTCTCTCCTGGCATATACCTGCTACGTGTACCCTGAACACTTGGGAGTGTCTTCTTACTTATTGAGCTGCAAGAGGATCCTCCATCTTAAAATTTATTATAGCATTTACTTTAATCATCACCACTGTCACTGTGGCTCTCGGTGCAGTCCCTATAATGATTATTAATAAATTGTTCATAATCTATGCTATCATTACTGCAATAATGATCATTAACAGCCTTAACAGTGTGCCTGCTCACTGGTGACTAGGACATACTTGCACTGGTAGTAAGCTTGTTGGTATGAACTGAGCACCCCCACCCTGTTCTTTGGTTCTCAATAGCCTCAGTGTTGTGGAGATGGTGAGTAGAACAGGGCTGGGCTCCTGACTCAGCTCTTATCATTGTGAATGCCTGATTTGCTCTGAGAGAAATTCTTGGCCACTAGACACGCCCAAAGAAAAGGACGAGTGTCAAATTGACTCTAAAAGCCATTTGAACCTTCCACTGCCCATTTTCTACCTGACCTATTATGGACCTTGCCCTCTATGAGAAACTGTCTTCTGCTTACCTGGGTGAAGTCTGTTTCTGCATCATTTCTTTCTCTCTCACTGTTCCAGATACTGTAGCTGAGCCCTGTTGGTGACATGTCCCAAAGTATCAAGTAAGATGCTCATGTATAAGGCTTTGGTATCTCCTGGCCTTTAGAATTGTGTGAATGAGTGCTACTGTAATGACAACAACATATTTCGAGGACAAAGTGACCATGCCACAGCTGAGAATTGGAGCAATCACAAATGTCAAGAGAGACATTAACTGGTGTGGAAGGGAGACAGCCATTGGGAGCAAATTCTCAGACCTTCAGAATAGCCAAGTGACAGAACAGCTCAAGGGAATAGTGGGGGGCAGATGCTCTGATAGTAGAACTAACCAACTAACCACTGGAGTCTGAAGGCCTAGCAGCTGCTCTTGAAAAGAAGTATATGTGGAGAATGCATAGGTGGCCTGTGGAGAAAGCAATGGCAGTGAATAAGCAAATCAGCTGGTGATGTGAAGCCTGCCCCCTTACCTCTGAGGGGCCATATGATAAATACTGACTTTACTGTTTCTTCCTGAAGCCAAATCAACTTGTCAAACATAATTGCTTTCCATGGCACTTTTCAAGACCCCTCCACAGGAAAGGGGCAAACCTGAACAGCATGAGGGGAATACCTTCTGTCCAGGCTCCATATCCCAACTCTAGGGCAGGTCAGGGACAGTGTGCAGAGAACCAGTATGGTGAAGAGAGAAGACCTGGATGCTAGTAGGAGGTTTTTCCTGGCATAAAGGCAAGAAGGAGTCTTGTATGGACTGCCAGCTCCTGCCTCTTTCAAGCATACAAGCCCTGAATTCACTTTGCTGTTCATGTTTCTTTTTCTTTACAGCTGCCAGGATTGATGAAGTAACACAGAAGTACAAGAGCGTCACTAACAGACTGCATAGAGGCACAAGATAATGTGGGAGTATGAAGCCCTCACTGGAGCTGTCAGGGGTGGCGGGGGCAGTTCCAGTCTTGTTCATGGCCTGCATGGTGCCTGCAGTTTGAAGGGGAGGAGGAAGAGGGAGGTAGAGAAAACAGGCAGAGATGGATAGAACAGAAGAGGTGGAAATAAAATAAGCCTGATGCTCTGAGAAGTTGTCTTTGGACTATTGTTTGTTTCTGCACATTGCATTCTTCCCCTCTAGCCTAGAATACTCAGCTTCCCTTCCTGTCCTCATCCCTGCTATTCTACATTAGCCTGGTGGCAAATCTTCTAGTACCCCACTGGGCTTTGGCCTCTCCTCTCTGTTGCTTCTATTCCTTCCTGATACTGTCTGGCTAGTTTAAACATGCCCGGCTCTGGAGGTCTCCACTGCAAACTGACATGACCCATCTTCCTGACCATGTGCCTTCACCTTCTGTCCTGCTTACAGGGTCCTGCAGAGATCCCCTGCCATGTCCTTGGGAGCCAGCGTGTCTCGTCTTTCTTCTCTAGGATGCTAGTACCCACTGGGGAAATCTCACCATGACTAGTTGTGCAGGAACTGCTCTCTGGGATTCCCACAGTAACCCACTACCATTCTGAGTAGTGTGCCTGTCGCAGCCACCTCCCTCCCTTGAAGCACCGGAACATACAGGATTTGGTGAGGCCTATTATCACACCTGTGGCTGCCTGCCCCACCCTGCTCCTGTAACTGCACCTTTGCTTCTCCAGGCTCCCTGGGTACTTTTGGACATCTGAGTGCCAGCTCCCTCATACTCAGACAGTGCTAGAAAAGGAATTAGCAGGCAGGTCCTTGTTCTCTACTGTCCCACTGAACCAACTGCTCTAAGGACAAGCTCAGGAGTGGCTGCAGTGGGAAGATGCAGCATCAACCACATCATGAGGAGGCCAGGCCTGCGGTGTTGGATACCTAGCTCTGGAATGAGATTTTCAAAAGCCCTGGATGACCTTCTAGCTTTCTAGCCACTGTCACATCTTGATGGTGCCCCTCAGATGAGTCATGAGAGACCTTAGAGCAGTAGTTTTCAACCTATGGGTCATTACCCCTATGGGGGTTGCAAATCAGATATCCTGCATATCATATATTTACATTATAACTCATAATGGTAGCAAAATCACAGGTATGAAGTATCAGTGAAAATAATTTCATGTCTGAGAGTCACTACAACATGAGGAACTGTATTAAATGGTTGCGGCATTAGGAATGTTGAGAACCATTGTTTTAGAGGTCTCCCAGTCACCTCTTTCCATTTCTGAAATTGAAAGAATTGGTTCAGCCATGCCCATAGGGCTGTGTGGGTCAGGTCTTACTGCCTCATTGCCTCCCTTTCCTCCCTGCCTTCCCCACAACTCTACTAAATAAATGCTTGGGACACATTGGGTGTCAGACCCCTGAGTGTCAAACCCTTGGTTGGTGCCATACCCCTAGAGCAGAGATCATCATCTCCACTTGCTGCTGCAATATGGGGCCATGGAAATGTCCCAAAACCACTCCTCTTCCCTGAAGCAAGACCAAGGCCCTGTCCTCAGCCTATCTTCCTATTCACAGTCTAAACATGACACAAGCCTACGCCCTTGTCACTCCTGAGGTCATGGCAACCTCATGAAGGGAAGCAAGGTCCCCAGTGATGGAGGGAGCCAAGGCCTGGAAAAGAAGACCTGTGTGTAAACATAGAGCTAAACATCACACCTGGTTCGTCCAGGTCTGACAACCACAATCCAGGTCCTTTGAAATTTGGAGGTAGAGCTTGGCAGAAGCCACAGCCTTCCTCCACACCCTGACTTCCTCCTGCCTGTGAGGACATGTTCCTCTGGCCCATGACGGTGGTGCTCATCACTCATTGGAAGCATGCGTGCAGCCAGAGCCTGCTTCCCAGTCTGTAAATATGGGGCGTGTGTCCTGGTGGCTATAAGCTCATGAGGGGGTGGCAAGCAACCGGCTGCACAGGTCCTGTGGCCTCAGGCCTCCTGGTTGCCCAACTGGCTGCTGGGGGCGGGCTGTTTCCTCTGATTAAAGGCTGCCTGAAGCAGCCTGTGAATAGACAGGTGCCCAGCAGCCTAGGAGGCCAGGCGAATCCTGCCCCAGGTAAGCCAGTACGGTGGGCATGGGTGGACAGTGCCATGAGCCTGGCAGGGCAGATAGAAGCCAGCTTGAGGCAGCACTTGTTTTGCAGTGAAAATCTTGGGGAGACTAGAGTCCTCATGCCAGATTGCTCTGGTGCCTGCTACCCAATGGTAGAAAGCAGAACATAATGCCTGAGGCTCCCAGCCAAAGTGTCTTCACCAAGGAGCTAGGCCTAGGCACCATTTGTAGACCATACCTGCCCCCTCCTTGATGGGGAAAGTAGCTAGATCTGGACTTGGGCTAAAGTCTAGGCACTTTATTTCGTGTCTGGTTAGTTAGGTGACAGAACTAAGAGTGGCTGGAGAGAGACCCAGAGAAAGGAGGAAGGATGGACGGTAGTAACAGATCCTGGTCACTTGAACCTAGCCCCATGGAGTTCCTTTCAAAGTGTCCCTGGATGTGAGTCTTAGAAACTATTCCTAGCCCTAAAGGCCTCTTGAGGTGGGGTGGAGCAGCAGGAAGTAAGGCTCTGAGTGATAGAGCTTTGGCATGAGAAGGCTGTAGGCAGCAGGGCCTTTGCTTTTATTTTTTAAATCCTCTGGCTTATGCCACTTGTTCCGGCAGCTTTAGGCCTGTGAGAATATCAGCATGTCTGAGCCACCCCGGGCTGAGACCTTTATATTCCTGGACCTGGAAGCCACTGGACTCCCAAACATGGATCCTGAGATTGCAGAGATATCTCTTTTTGCTGTCCACCGTTCTTCCCTGGAGAACCCACAGCGGGATGATTCTGGTGCCCTGGTGCTGCCCCGTGTTCTGGATAAGCTCACACTGTGCATGTGCCCAGAACGCCCCTTTACTGCCAAGGCCAGTGAGATTACTGGTTTGAGCAGTGAAAGCCTGATGCACTGCCGGAAGGCTGCTTTCAATGGCGCTGTGGTGAGGACACTACAGGGCTTCCTGAGCCGCCAGCAGGGCCCCATCTGCCTTGTGGCCCACAATGGCTTTGATTACGACTTCCCACTGCTGTGCACAGAGCTACAACGTTTGGGTGCCCATCTGCCCAGAGACACTGTCTGCCTGGACACACTGCCTGCATTGCGTGGCTTAGACCGTGCTCACAGCCATGGCACCAGGGCTCAAGGCCACAAGAGCTACAGCCTGGCCAATCTCTTCCACCGCTACTTCCAGGCTGAGCCCAGTGCTGCCCATTCAGCAGAGGGTGATGTACACACGCTGCTTCTGATCTTCCTGCACCGTGCTGCTGAGCTGCTTGCCTGGGCAGATGAGCAGGCCTGCAGCTGGGATCACATTGAGCCCATGTACGTGCCACCTGATGGTCCAAGCCTTGAAGCCTGAATGTCAGCATCATCAATTCATCTAGGCTCTGAGCTATGTTCTTGCTCTCTGCAGCACTGTCCTGGCCTTCCTCAGCCCTGGTGTACCTAGCCATAGGATCCTAGAGCCTTCTCTGTGCTCTACCTCCAGTTGGGCAACTTCTGGTCAGCCTGTGGGCTCCTACAAATTGTTCCTTCCATCTTTCATCCCATTTCTCAATAAATGCCACCAACTATTTACCAACTGATTTACTGGCCAGACTTCTCTCTGCCCACATCCAGAACTATCCCACCAAGGCACAGATGGACTGACTCTGTGGTGAGCTCTGTGAGTATGTAGAGGTGAAGATATCAGCAAGCAGGATTCTGCAAGGGGCTTATGATAGGTTGGGATGCTTAACCCCTGGACATTTCTCTGGTATATCTCATGGTTCCATTGAGTGTTGGCCCTCTCTGCTAGGCCCTTGGGATAAGCTGGCTGAATCCTCCAAGGAGGAAAATGAGAGGGATAACTGAACCTACAATGCTAGTTTATGCCTTGTTCAAAGCCCAGCTCCAGCCCCTATCCTCGTCCACCTCTGTTCATGCTCTGCAAAGTAGCACCAGTGAATTGATAAAGAACAAGGGAAAGACAGTCATCTCTAGTGATCTGTGATTATGCCATATGGATGCCATGGGAGGGACCACCCAGGCAGACTAGGGTGCCAAGCTGATCTGAGGCATTACAGGAGAGATGGAGTGGCACATATGGTGCCACTCAGAATAAGAACTCATCCCAGGTCTCAGATCCTTCATACAATGATTTGGGCAGGTAACTTCTTATCAGCTACCTCAGCTGGACTTCAAGTTTTTGGGTGACCTGCCTGTGTAGCCCTACCCTGAGGCACTCCTGTTTTGTGGGAAGTCAGACCAGGTGAGAGCTGTGTCACCAAATGCTGGGGCAGGTAAGAAGGGGTGGGGTGGCCACACCCCAGAGTGACTCCTATGAGCAAAGCCTCCAGCTTTGAGCCAGCCTGGCCCGTTTGGGGCCCCCTAAGTAGGTCAAAATGACTAGAGAGGCTTCAGTATGTATGGTGGCAGGATGATGAGACCAGAGTACTGGTGATGGTTACATTAGAATAGTCTCGTGGCCTGGCTGAGACCGAGGGACAATGGAGGTCACATAGGGTTGTGTCTAGAAGAGAGGCAAAATATGATTTGTGTGTTTGTTGTATTTCTTAGGCCTGATCCCTTTACCTTCTGGTCAGGCTCAGGTAGGCAGTCTATTCCAAAAAGTGGTGCCCTTAGAATGCTTTCCCTGCTACTAAAAGAAAGGCTCAACTCTAGGATTAGCTAGCTGCTCTATTTGTGCCTTAGGTCACCTCCATAGTGGTCTTGTTTTGTGCTTTTCCCCTCCTTAAGGCTGAGGTTTCTGCCTCAGCCATTCAATTACCCTTGGCCTCACAGTAGTCTGGTCTTAGATGTTATTCCCAAGTCTTTCCTGCTCACTCACACTAATCAGGTTTAGCGTTAAGTTTCTTTCCATGTGGTACAGACAAGCTGAGACCTGCCGCAAAAACAGTGATGAATTGATGCCAACTTGCTTTCCAGGAAAGTAAATGCACATGTGTGTGTTTGTGTGTGTGTTTCCCATCCATGATCAACACTATTCAGCTCACAATTTCCCTTCTCTTAATGAGAAAGTAAAACATTAGAGATGTATCTTAAAATGTCACATGTTCACACTACCCACTGTGATTTAATCTGCAAGTACTAACATGCTCCCCATTATTTTCTCAAGCCAGGGCAGTCAACAAAGCAGACATAAATTGAGCACTGCTGTGTCCTGGCCCATTGACCTCTGTGGGATAGTTCTCTCACTGTGGCCAATAGGAAAGGACAGAGTGTGCACAAAGCCTTACAGGAATAGATTTGTGGCACCACACTACAGCATTGATTTCCACTGTGGTCTGCTAGATGAGTAGCAATATACAGTAACAGTAAAATATGGTCAGTGATAGATTTAGGTACCTCCTTTAATTTTTTTAATATACCTTGTTTACTTTTTCATTTATATTATTTATTTGCTTTTGGTTTTTTGAGAAATGGTCTTATATATCCTAGACTGGTCTTATCTTCCTTTTGTAGCCAAGGCTAACCTTGGACTCCTTATCCTCAAGCCTCTACCTCCTAAGTTCTGGGATGATAAGCTGATGTTGCCATGTCCAGCTTGTTTACATAACTTAATTTCTAATAGATGCTAACATTTAACAATTACCTCTCAAAATTTCCAATCATTTAACATCTATCTGAATGACTCAACAATAACAACAAAAGACTGACCATTACATACTTTGCTGCAGATGACACTGTAGGCAGTGTCAATGGAAACCATCTGGGCAAATGCCTGAAAGGGCTAACTGAGCAACTATCACGAGATGCAAGGTTTCACCTATATATGTGTATCCCCAAGAGAATTTCAGAGGTCACCCTCCACCTTATCTATCTATCTATCTATCTATCTATCTATCTATCTATCTATCTATCTATCTATCTATCTAT